CTGTCAGTACAGACAGTTATTGGCCCAGGCTCATTTTTTATCACCATCCATACTGTACTCAATTCAGCCCATTGACTGCTTTGCCCTGTGTCATTTTCATATCACATGGCATCTGTTAAGGGCTGGACAGCAACAGCTGTCCATGATGCTGAAGGTCCCATGCTAGATACATCTGTATACCAAGCTTGCTCTGTGATAGGTCCCTGTCCCTCATGGAAAGGTGTAGCCTCCACCTCCATGGGTAAGGGTTTGTGTCAAAGTTTCCTCCACAACCTCTACTGGTCCTAGCACAGTTTGCAACTCTTTGGACAGAGGACTCATTGACACAGTGCTTCTTTATTCTGTATATGCTCCCCATTAGACAGGGTGGGAGTCTGAGCTATGCCATTTTAGGGTTGGATGCCCATGTGCGCAGCCAACCGAGTATGGGGTATGTCATCCTTACTAGGACTTTGTCAATTCCTGTGATAGCTTCAGTAGCCAGCAAGGCAGAATACACAGCTGCTAACTGTTTTCTATTAGAGAATAACGCACTTCAGCACCCTTCCAGAGCTGAGACCAGAATCTTACAGGTGTTTGGAATCAGTCTTGTCTCTGCCACAAACCCCATCCTAACCCTTCTTGGGTTATATGTACATCTAATTCAAAAGGCTTATTTGGATCAGCCACTTGTAAAGCCTGTACTTGATGTACTGACCTTTTTGTAGTCTGGTAAGCCCCTTCTACTTCCTTAGTCGAATCCCAGGGGGCTCCTTTCTTTGTTAAAGCATATAGTGGGCATACCATTTGGGCCATATGGGGTACAAAAGCTCTCTAATACCCCAGAATTCCCAGATATATCTGTAGCTGAGCTACAGTTGTGGGTCAAGTGTATGCCTGTATCTTGTCTATAATAGCTTCTGACATGACTCTCATCTTACCCGACCAGACCACTCCTAAGAATTTGACTGACAGTCCAGGTCCTTGCACTTGGGCTGTGTTCATGGCCCACCACATTGTTCCAAATGACTTAGCAGCATTGGAGCTGCCTGGGTTAAATCTGCAAGAGAATTGGAGGTTAGTAACATGTCATCAATGTAGTGAAACATTGTAACTGTTCTGGGCCTAGTCCACTTGGCTAGGTCCTCAGCCACTAAACCATGACAGATGATTGGGCTATTCAGATAACCTTGGGGCAATACCTGAAAGTTCCACTGCCTCCCTCCCCAGGTGAAGGCAACCAAATCTTGGCTATCAGCCAAGATTGGAATAGAGAAAAAAGCATTTTCAAGGTCCAGTACATTTATTATCCATAAGTTGAGTTGTTAGCTGATCCATCCAGTCATGAACCGAAGGCAGAGCTGCATGCAAAGGAAGGACTAGTTTCTTTAGTTCTCAATAGTCTACAGTCATTCTCCAGGTACCAGCAAGTTTTTTCACCAGCCATACCTGAGTATTAAATGGGCTATAATCCAGACAAATAATGCCAACTTTCTCTAACTCCAATATAGTGGCACTTATCTCTGCGTGTCCTCCTGGTAGGCCATACTGCTTTATATTAACTACATGTCTTGGCTGGGGTAAAACCTGTGGATCATGTTTAGCATATGCTCCTAACACAGGCTTTATTCTCCGTATTCATAGCCAAAACTCCCAACTGTTGTTTGTGGGTGCAAACCATAAAGTATATCCATACCCAAGATGTATTCAGCTACTGGGGATATATATACAATATACACACGAGGGGGCAATTATCCTATGCCCAATGGCAGTGACATAGCTTTGACTTCAATGGCATGTCCTCCATAGCCATCTATACAAACTGAGGCCCCTGGAAACTTATCTGGATTGCCATATATCAGGCTACATTCTGCACCTATATCCACCAATGCCAAAACACGCTGCACATTTGTCCTCAACCAATGTATTACCAATTCAACATGAGGTCTCTTATCCTCACCTGCCCCCAAAAGATGAGCACCTTGGCCTCCTCCCTAATCAAAATGGAACATTTCATCCACCTCCTTGGGAGCAACCAAAAAGTCTTTGAAATCCACGGAGCGTACTTTGCTGCCTATTACTGGACGTGTAGTGAAATGCTGTTCAGGGTGCAATTGTGCCACAAGGCAAAGAGAACTGCATTTGGCTGCTAGTCAGTTTTCTTCCTATCAACCCCTGCTGCAAGCAAATCAAGCCACATCTGCTTATGGCTAGTCTTCCTTGGTCCCCTCGGGATAAAATCCCGAGTATTTCTTTGGGGGTTCGGTCTTAGCCATCTTTCGGACCCCTTTTGCTTTTCTCCAATCCTCCACTTCACCCAAGCCGGCTGTCATGGTCATTACCTCATGTATAGGATGACCAATGTATGGGGCCAGTATGGCCATCATTGATCCAAAGCAGATTGACAGGGCATTCTGCAGCACTATGTCTCTCATGCTGCTGGTAAAATTTTCATTGTCTGAGCCACAAGTGTTCACATTAAACATGAACTGCCACATCCCCAGCTCCCAAATTATTTGAACCAACTCAGCATATGTTTGCCATTTACTAACAATCTTAGGCAGTTCTCCAGCATTTGCCCACATGGTTCAAGCAGCTGCACTCACCCATTGCATTAAGGAGTGATTACCTCGCCCTTGTGCATATCTGCGGCTATTCTGTAGGCACTGCCTCAGGGATGGGTGCGTGATGATGGAGGCCAATTTTTCCATCTTCTCACCAGAGCACATCACTCTATCCACCCTAGGTCCCATAGCCACAGCAGCCAAGCAGCCAGGGGCTCCCCCTGTTTCTGCCAGAACTGTCTCCCCAAGTCAACTAATTCAACCTGGGTATACAGGACATATGTAGTCAATTGGGTCACCTGTAGATTGCCTGCCAGTTGTCCACCTGCTCCCATAGGCTGCTCACGTTTCATTTTCTGATGCACAACAGGTCATGCCTGGAGATGCATGGTCTCCCCCAACTCACCACTGGGTTTGTCGTCCTCCCTGGTGTGAGAGGCAGGGGTGGCCAGTCGCTGCACGCCATCCTCCAGGACATTTATCCACACTTCCAACAACTCTGCTTTCTTCTTCAAATCTTGGTCAGCTTCCAGTATAGTGAGCAGTAGCCAGGCTCCAGTCAGCAGAAAAGTGGCCACCGGGCACCACATACTCAAGGATAGCCACATTTCCACCCCCTCCCCAGGGGCTCTCCAGGGCATATTTCAAGGCCATACTGCTTCATGGAGTGCCTGGTCTATAATGACTTTCAGTATTGTGAGCAGCAGCCAGATCCCAGCCAACAGGAAAGTGGCATAGGGCACAACATACTCAAGAGTAGACACATTTCCTCCTTCTCCTAAGGGGCTTTTGGCTTCTGTACCTGCTCAGAATTCTGCCACCGACTATGCCAATTGTAAAGCCAAGGCTAGGGCTCACAGACCCCTCGAGCCCATTGTACAGACTAGGTCACAAACCCTGCACATGCAGGTGTACAAACTAGGTTATAGGAAAAGGTCCTGAGAACCGTAAAAAATTAATAGGCTTTATTCAGAGATAGGAGCAGCCACCCTAGTGGCTTCCTGGAGCATCCCAAGAAACACTGTGTACCAGATACCTTAGTCCTTCATACTTAAGTCCATAACCCAAAACACCTGGGTGCACGTGCATATTTACACCAGATGCTCAGCAAGATTCTGAACATCTGAGGGATCCTGACCATTTTTCTATATATTCCCTAAGAGTTTAACAAGTAGTTGAATATAAGATTAATATACAAAAGTCAGATGTATTTCTGATTACCAGTGTAAAGAGAAAACATAACTAAAGAGAAGACTCAAAACTTGTGTAAGACCTCTATAGAGATTTAAGTATAGATTAATAAATGTAGCTCAAGAACATGCAAAATAAAGTAGATACAATTTGATTTATTATTGTTGGGAAAATATAGAAACCCCTCACTGTTCTGTATTTGAATTGGTGTTTCTTGCCATCAATGCCTTATAAGGATTAACAAATAGTTCTTAATCTTTGCATTAGCAAGAGTTCAAATTTCACCTAAATACAAGCTTTTAGCAGGTCAGTTCCATTGCAACATGGTTTGCAAACAGCTGGCTTCCTGCTTTCCCATAAAACCTAGACCAAGTTGTTAATGATTTGCTTGACCTATGCTTTTAACCCAAGTGGCCTATCCTATGTGACTCTGTCATATGGTACTCAAAGATCCAGTTTTATTCTACTCCATTTTTGGTAAGAATTTCTTGCTCCTTGGGTACAACTTGTATGGAATTCCACCATAAACAGGTTTTTCAACCTGTTTAGTAAATAGGAAATTTCTATTGGGAGCTACCAGAGATTTTAAAATCAAACACTTTTCAGAAAGTGTAATTGTTATAGGACAGATATGTTGATTAAGTTTAATATATAGCATTGTTAGGTAACTTTCACTATTCTGAAGCATACAAATTCTTGAGATTTATATCTAAAGATTAAACCAGACGAAGTATTTTTACTCCATGACATCCAAGAATGGGTACATTTATTTTGGATAAAAAGAAAACAAGGTCTCTGGGGTTTGAGGGATATAGAGAGATTACAGTGAGGGGAAAAGGGGTATTTTCCAATTCATGACACAGAAAGAAACTGTTCCGGGTCTTTAAAAAAAAAAAAAAAAATGGATTTAAATGTTACACACACATTTACACCTGGTGACACATCAGGCGGGAGACAGAAGTCTTTTCTACGTGCCTTTGTTTTTTAAGTCCATCAACAAGATCTCTTCCACAGTCCTGGGATAGGCCTGGCTGTTCCTCCATCCCACTGGCGACGTCTGGACAAAGTCTGAGACGCCCCAGGCACCTGCGGCTCTGACTGAAAGCGGCGAACAAAGACTGTCTCTCCTGAGAAGCGCCTGAGAAAGAAGAGCTACTCCGGGGAGACGCACCAGGGTTCCTACTGGAGGAACCTCTATCCTTTATTTAAGCAGCAGTCGCTGGGCCCGGGGACCAGAAGGACCAGCCGAGACCCCGAAGGACGAAGCCGGCGCCCTCGAAGGCAGCTCCCGTCAGCTCCTCCTTCTCTAGGCCGCCGCCTCCTCGCGCCGGAGGAGCTGCGAGATGCTGCGCCTGTGACTCTGTTCCTCCCGCCCCTGTCACCGAGAGGGGAACGAGCGCTCGCCCACTCGCCGGAGGAGACGGCCCTGGACTCCCAACCCCGCCGGCGAAACCATGAGCTCCGGCCAGCAGCCGCCGCCGCGGAGGGTCACCAACGTGGGGTCCTTGCTGCTCACCCCGCAGGAGAACGAGTCCCTGTTCACCTTCCTCGGCAAGAAATGTGTGGTCAGTGGTCGAGACCCGCGTCGCCACCCCGACCTTCCCTCACGGGCCCGGGCTTGAGGTCCAGGAAGCGGGAGAGGGGACAGAGGCGGGAGCGGCGCGGGGAGGGTTCCCCCGGCGGCCAGGCTTCCAGCCGGCCCCGCGTGGGCGCCGTCGCCCTGCTCCCTGGGTGCGGGCTGCTGGAGAACAAGGGAGCGTCACCTTCGAGGCCTGCCCTGGACTCCAGCTTGGCCGCCCGGTCTGCGCCCTTGCAGCTGGTTCAAACTGTACTCTCAGGCCACAAGGGGATTTTACTCTCAGGCCACAAGGGGATTTTCTTCTTGCAAAAGCTGCTTGATCTCAAGAGCCTCTGGGGTCTCTGTCCTGGCTCTCGCTCCACATCCTACTGCTTGATCAGGAGGTACCTTTAGCAATGCCAGAGGGTTAAGGAGTGGACAGATCAGGGAATGAAGGGGACCATAAGGTGGTTTTTAATCTCCCTTTTGGATTCCAGGAGGGAATAAAGTCGAGTGCAGGGTCCTGAGGCATTTGTAGGGGCCAAAAGAAAACTTCATCCCTGAAGATACATCAATAAACATCACTGACAAATTTATATCAGTATGAAGAAAAGGCATAGCAAATGTTGTTAAACATGCTGGGAGAACGCAAAGCAGGGGGGAATCACAAGAGATTAATGTCCCAAATTAGTGGAGGTACAAAGCTCATATATCAGTGAGAGAGACAAATTTGGAAGAGGGAGAAGCCCCACAGTAATGACCTTAGACCATGTTTCTCTGAAGTTCTGGGGGAGGTGCTGTCCGTAGTGAGAGAAGGAAGTCAGAAATTAAGAGACATCTTGCGTGCTAATGAATATATTTCAGGTACTCTCACAGCTCTTCTCAGAAATAGCAGATAATGGCCCAGGGAGGGAAAATTGCTTCGTAAATTTCTTTCCACAAAGAAATAGCCTGTTCCTAATTTTGTTTTTCAGTGTCCTTGAATTAGCCATCTTGAAATATGTCAAAGACATATATTTTGGTGCAAAAATGTTTTGCTTTACAAATAGAGGGTAGGAAATGCTATGCTCTCCATTGCATAGAAACAGGATGTATTTTTCCAGCACTTTCGTGCAGGCCTAATTTCTACTCTCCTTCCCACTGATTTTCCTTTTTTTCTCTTTTGGCGTTGGTGGGAGGGGTTGCTGATCTCTCTAAGGCCATGCACAAGAAAACCTCAACCTAGTAGTTCTTGGCCATTGGGGCTGAGGTTGGTACTGTGTGGCCATTTCCAGCTCCAAATGGCTAGTTGGGTGTATGCAGTTTAGCTGAGGTGTTGGGAAAATATAGGAAAATGGTTAGGGGCCCTTTCTAGTATAGAGGAAAAAGGTGAGCACAAAATATGTGTAATACAGGGTGGCCTATAAGCACGGGAATAGATTCAGAAGATTCCAACAGGGCTTGGTTATAAATCCTGTTTGTGATTGCTCTTAACTCTGTCATATAGGCAGATTTCTTAAATAGTCTTGGCCTTAGTGTTTAGGTTTGTAAAATGGGCTTAGTCGGGTATTTCAAGGATGTAATATTTATGTAAAACGTTTAGAGTACCTGATACTGGAAAAGGATATGAAAGAGTTGTCATTAATGCTGTTTAGTACTCAGGTCAGATTTCCTGTTACTGTTAGGGAGGTTTTAGAGTAAAATTTTGAATTCTCTAGTGTATTTGTTTTGATTTAGGTAAATCAATTATAGCAGTTTTGTTTAAAAGTCAGTTAATTATTAGACTGTAAATTAAGAGTTAAGGAGCGGCTTGAATAAATCTCTTTGGTGAACTGAACCTCCTGGGCTGCTGACTGAAGAGGAAGAAAGGGATACTCATAGAAGAGTTAGGAGCTTCTGGATTTAGTTCATGTTCTGCTGCAATTAATTGTGAATATGAGTAAGAATCTCTGCCTTCCTTAACCTCACTTTTCTAATTTGAAAATGAGAGGTTGGTCAAGATAGCTCCACAGTCTTTCTGTCATTAATGTTCTGTCAGTCTAACGGTTCTAGATGTCAGGGACTCAGTAACAGGGAAAGAGCAGCCCCACTGTTAACCCTCGTGTACATATGTTTTGCAAAATGGAGACAAAGCCAGTATTTATCTAAGTGAAAGGTAGATAAACCCGAATGATTTCACTGGAAATTCCTATTTCTAAATTACCTGAAATTGTATTACTTATATGAATGATAGGTGTTGCATTGTATTGTTTATTTTCCAAGGTGAAAAAAAATTTTAAGTTTTTAGTTTATGTGTTAGGACCAGATGACTTCACTGCCAAATTCTACCAAACATTTAAAGAACTAATACTAATTCTTCTCAAATTTTTCCAAGAAATTGAAGCAGAGGGAATACTTCCAAACTCATTCTGTGAGGCAAGCATTACCTTCATATTAAAATTGAAAAAGAGACAATAAGAAAAGAAAACTACAGGCCAATATCCCTAATGAACACAAATGCAAAGATGCTCTACAAAATACTAGCAAACAGAATCCAACAACACATTAAAGAGTATACCCCATGAGCAAATGGTGTTGGGAAAACTGGATAGCCACATACAGAATATTTAAACTAGACTCCTATCTATCACCTTACATGAAAATCAACTCAAAATGGACCAGAGAGCTAAACTTAAGACCTGAAACTATGAAACTATTAGAAGAAAACATAGGGGAAATGCTACATGAAATGGGAGTGGGTAGTGCTTTTCTGAATAAAAAGTACAAAGGCACAGGCAACTAAAGCAAAAATGCATAAAAGGGACTACATCAAACTAAAAAGCTTCTGCACAGAAAGGGACACTGTCAACAAAGTGAAGAGACAACCTACAGAATGGGAGAAAGTGTTTGCAAACTACACATTAGACAAGGGTCTGATACCCAGAATATGTAAGGAACTCGAACAGCTCAACAGCAAAAAAAAGAAAAGAAAAAACCCAAATGACTCAATTAAAAAATGGGCAAAGGACCTAAACATTTCTCAAAACAAGACATACAAATGGCCAACAGGCACATGAAAAATGCTCACCATCACTAATGATCACGGAAATGCACATTAAAACCACAGCCAGATATCATCTTACTCCAATAAGAATAGCTATTAGTGGGCCGGCCCGGTGGCGCACTGCTAAAGTGCGCCGCTTGGGAGCACGGCGGTGCTCCCACCGAGGGTTCGGATCCCACATACAGACCAGTTCCCGCTCACTGGCTGAGCGAGGTGCGGGTGCAACACTGAGGGTTGCGATCTCGTTGCCGGTCCCGGTCTGGTACAGGCACGACACTGAGGGTTGCGATCTCGTTGCCGGTCCCAGTCTGGTACAGGCACGACACTGAGGGTTGCGATCTCGTTGCCGGTCCCAGTCTGGTACAGGCACGACACTGAGGGTTGCGATCTCGTTGCCGGTCCCAGTCTGGTACAGGCACGACACTGAGGGTTGCGATCTCGTTGACTGGCTGAGCGAGGTGCGGGTGCAACACTGAGGGTTGCGATCTCGTTGCCGGTCCCGGTCTGGTACAGGCACGACACTGAGGGTTGCGATCTCGTTGCCGGTCCCAGTCTGGTACAGGCACGACACTGAGGGTTGCAATCCGTTGCCGGACATGAAAAAAAAAAAAGGGAAAAAAAAAAAAAGAATAGCTATTATCACCAAGACAGAAAATAACAAATGCTGGTGGGGATGCAGAGAAAAAGGAACTCTCTGACGTTGCTGGTGGGAGTTTAAATTGATATAGCCACTGTGGAAAGCAGTATGGAGGTTCCTTAGAGGTCTAAAAATAGAGCTACCCTTCAACCCAGCTGTCCCACTGCTGGATATATACCCAAAGCTAAAGAACAAGTATATGAAAAGGATACCTGCACTCCCATGTGCATCGCAGCACTATTCACAATAGTCAAGCGATGGAATCAATGTAATGTTCATCAACAGATGAATGGATAAAACAACTGTGATGTGCGTATGTATACACACACACACACACACACAATGGAGTACTACTCAACTAAAAAATATATCCTATCATTTGCAACAACATGAATGCAACTGTAAACCATCATGCTAAGTGAAGTAAGTCAGGCACAAAAAGATAAATACCAACCACATGGTGTCACTGGTGGCATCAAAAACAAAAAAAGTGGTTCTCATAGAAGTAGACATTAGAATAATGGTTACCTAGGGCAGAAGCGTTGAGTGTAAAAGAAACATTAGACTAATAGTACAAAACTATTCTATCTACCTAAAGTGAATCATTGTGTAGTATATGCATGTATTGAAACAATATACTGTAACCCCACGAATACGTACAAATAAGTGTTAAAATATTTTGAATAATGAATAACCACCTTTTTTTCATTGATTACTATTTGTTTTTGTTTTCTATTTTATTGATACTATTTTCTTTTGCTTGTAGTTGGCCCTCCATATCCATTGGTTCTGCTTTCATGGATTCAACCAACTATGCATTGAAAATATTTGGGTAAAAAATAATTTTTAAAAAATACAGCAATGAAAAATAACAGAAAACAATATAAGAACTATTTACATAGCATTTACATTGTGTTAGGTATTATAAGTAATCTAGATATGATTTAAAGTATGGCAAGTGTAGAGGGTTAGAAATCTTGATTCTTATTTGATTATTAGATAGGGTTTTTAGGTAATGCATATATGGGACAAAAGTTCTCAGGAGACAGTGGTCTGTAGCTAGCAGACAAAACCCCATCTAATCAATTCTAATCACTGTTTAGGGATGGGATTATGTATTTTGATTCTTTAACATACTGATTGTTGTTAAAAGATGTTGAAAGAGTTGCTATAGGAAAAAATGTGAAAAACTGCTAAGGGCAAGCTGTTTGTTGGTGGAAACTTTAGAGACAATTATACTTAAATTTAATCATAAGAATAACTCTTGCTTAAATCATTTAAGGAGAGGGGATTAGATAGTGATCACAGTTTGATCAACTTAGCTTTTCACAAATTGTACTTTGGAATGTCACGTTGTTAATATAAATGATGTTACTAGTTTCTATCGTTTAAGGTATACTTAGCTGTAAATAACTTTTTTCACATTGCCCATGTCTCTGTGTCCTTTTGAAATGATTGCATCAACTGATTTTTCTTGTGAAACTTCCTTGTCTTTATAGTAAAAACAGAAGCTAACTTTGAATCGGGGCTGATATTTCTGTCTTTTTTTTTTTTTTTGCATTAATTAAATTAATTAAGTAATGTTGTGCTTTTAATTTCAAATTCCAGTTTTTCATTGCTGGTACACAGGAAAACAGTTAACTTTGTATATTAACCATTGTATTCTACAACCTTGCTATAATGGTTTATTAGTTCCCAGAACATTTTTTTCTTTGACTTTTTTGGGATTTTCTATAGAAGCAATTATGTCATCTGCAAATAAAGTCAATTTTATTTCTTCCTTCACCATCTGTAAACATTTTATTTTATTTTATTTCCTATTCTACTATTGTATCATTGCATTAGCTAGGACTTCTAGAATGGTGTCTAACAGGAGTGGTGAGAGGTGATGCTCTTGCTTCGTTCTCAATATTAGGGAAAGAAGCATCTCGTTTGTTACCATTAAGTATGATGCTAGGGGTAGGTTATTAATAGATGTTCTTTATCAATTTGAAGAAGTTCCTCTCGAAGAGTTTTTATCATGAATGAGTGTTGGATTTTGTTAAATGTTTTTTTCTGCATGTATTCACATGATCGTTTGTTTTTTCTTTAGCCTGTTGATAGGATGCATTAGCTGATTTTGAATGTTGGACCAGTCTTACCTGGAACAAATTCCACTACTTTGTTATGTATACATCTTTTTGTATATTGCTGGATTTAGTTTGCTAGTATTTTGTTGAGGATTTTTGTATCTATGTGAGAGGTTTGGGGCTATAATTTTCCCTTTTTGTTGGGTCTTTGTCTGGTTTTGGAATTAGTGCTGCCCTCATAGAATAGTTATGAAGTGTTTCCTCAAGAGATTGTAGACTACTTGTATCATTTATTCCTTACCTGTTTGGTAGAATTCAGTGAAATCATCTGGACTTGTTTTTTGTTTTAGAAGGTTGCTGTTATTTATTGGTTCTATTTTTTTAATCGTTATAGGCCTGCTCAGATCAAGTAGTTATCATGTGCTGTTGGATAGGTTATACCTTTAAAAGAATTGGTCCATTTCACTTAAATTATCAAGTTTGTGTATATGGAGTTGTTCATAATATTTCTTTGCTATCCTTTTAATGTCCATGGGATCAACAGTGATAGCCCTCTTTCATTTTTTGTTAGTAATTTGTGTCTCCTCTCTTTTATTCTTGGTTAGGCTGGGCAGAAGTTTATGTTTTATTGATTTATTTTTTTCATTTCTGTATTGATTTTCTGTTTTACATTGCATTGATTTATCCTGTAACTTTTTTTTTTAATTTGCTTATTTTCGATTTAATTTGCTTTTCTTTTCATAGTCCTAAGGTAGATGCTTAGGTTATTGATTTTATATTTTTTCTTTTCTAGTGCATTCAATGCTGAATTTCTAAGCACTGCTTTTGCTGTATCCCACAAATTTTGATAAGTTATATTTTCATTTTAGTTTCAGAATTTTTAAAATTTCTCTTGAGACTTCATTGACTCATGTGTTATTTAGAATTATGTTTATTCTCCAAATATTTTGGAATTTTATAGCTGTCTTTCTGTTACTGATTTCTAGTTTAATTCCACTGTGGTCTGAGAGCATACTTTGTATGATTTCTATTCTAAATTTGTTAAGATGTGTTCTGGCCTAGAATGTGGTTGTCTTGGTGATTGTTCCATGTGAGCCTCAGAAGAAGTAATGTGTATTATGCTGTTGTTGGATGAAGGATTCTATAAACATCAACTAGATCCAGTTGGTTAATGGTGCTGTTTATTTCAATTATATCCTTACTGATTTTCTTCCCACTGGATCTGCCAATTACTCGTGGAGGGATGTTGAATTCTTTTACTGAGATAGTAAATTCATCTATATTTGTTCTTGCAATTCTGTAGCCTTTTTGCTGCTTGTATTTTGACACTTTCTTATTAGCAGCATACACATTAAAGATCATTATGTCTTTTTGGAGAATCGATCCCTTTATTATCATGTAACACCACTCTATGTCCCTGATAATTTTTCTTGCTCTGAAGTATGCTTTTCCTGAAGTTAGCTATTCCACCTTTCTTTAGATTAGTGTTCACATGGTATATCTTTTTCTATCCCTTTGCCTTTAATTTATATTTAAAATGGTTTCCTGTAGAGAACATGTAGTTGGGTCTTTTTTTGTTTTTTCTGACAGTATCTATCTTGTAATTGGTGTATTTAGACCATTCACATATGTTTTAGTCCGTTTTGTGTTGCTATAACAGAATTACCTGAGACTGGGTAATTTATAAAGAAGAGAGGCTTTATTTGGCTTATGATTCTGGGACAGCTCCATCTGGCATGGGCCTCAGGTTGCTTCCACTCATGGCGGAAAAGTGGCAGCAGCCAGCAGGTACAAGCAGATCACATGGCGAGAGGAAGCAAGAGAGAGAGGAAGCAAGAGAGAGAGAGAAGGTGCCAGGGTCTTTTTAAGCAAGGAGCTCTCGTGGGAACTAATAGAGTGAGAACTCACTCATTTATCCCCCCTTCCCCCAGGGAGAGCATTAATCCATTCATGAGGGATCCGCCCCCATGACTCAGTCAGTTTCCAACCCTGCCATATAGGAGATCAAATTTCCACATGAGTTTTGGAGGGGACAACACATCCAAACTCCATCAACATATAAAATGATTATTGGTTTAGTTGGAATATCAGATATAATTATAACTGTTTTGTTTGTTGTTCTTGACCTTTTTTCTTCTTTCAGTTTTGTTTTGCTTTCTTTGGTTTTAATTGAACATTTTTTATGATTACATTCTTTCTCTTCTCAGCATATCAAATGTACTCCTGTTTAAAATGTTTTTAGTGGTTTTCCTAGTTTGCAATATACATTTACTACTAATCTAAGACGAAGGCTTCAAAAAGTTCATAGAAAATGCATACAGTAATAAACAGCATTGATTGTAAGGTTTTTGGGCCCAAAATCATACTATCTTGCTAGTACATGTCTGAACAGGATCTAGTTCGAGGCACTAAGAAGGATAAGACATCAGTTTGAAAGGAGCCCCTGTCAGAGTAACATGAATTCTACTAAGACTGAAAAAGAAACAAACATCACATTTATTTTGAAGCTTGGGTGGAAGAATGGTTAAATCATTGATGCTTTCTGACAAGTTCATGGGGTCAATGCCCCAATAAATCAGCAGTTTACAAATGGATAACTTGTTTCAAGAAGGGACGAGGTGACGTTGAAGATGAAGCCCACAGTGGCAGGACATCCACAACAACATGTGGGGAAAAATTAATCTTCTTTGTACCATAATTGAAGAGGACTGATGATTAACAGCAGAAACAATAGCCAGCACTATAGACAATCTCAATTGGCTCAGCTTACACAATTCTGACTGAAAAGTTACAGTGGAACAAATTTTTCTCAATGGATGCCAAGACTCTTGCACCCAGATCAGTTGCTGACAAGAGCAGAGCTTTCAATGGAAATTTTCAACAAGCAGGATCAACATTCTGAAGCATTTGTTCAAAGAATTCCAACAGGTGATGAAACATGGCTTTACCAGTACAATCCTGAAGACAAAGTACAATGAAAGTTGTGGCTACCAAGAGATAAAAATGGTCCAGTCAAAGCAAAAGCAGACTGATCAAGAGCAAAGGTCATGGCAACAGTTTTTTGGGATACTCTAGGCATTCTTCTTGCTGACTTTCTGGAATGCCAAAGAATGATAACATCTACTTATTCTGAGAGTGTTTTCAGAAAGTTAGCTAAAGCTTTAGCAGGAAAACACTCAGGAAACCTTCACTAGAGAGTCCTTCTCCACCACAACAATGCTCTTGCTCATTCCTCTCACCAGTCAAGGGCAACTTTGCAAGAGTTTCAATGGGAAATCATTAGGCATCCACCTTCCTATTCTGATTTGGCTCCTTCTGCCTTCTGTTTGTTTCCCAATCTTAAAAAGTCTATAAAGGGCACCCATTTTTCTTCAGTTAATAATGTAAAAATGACTGCATTGGCATGGTTAAATTCTCAGGAGACTCAGTTCTTTAGGGATGGACTAAATGGCTAGTATCTTCACTTACGAAAGTGTCTTGAACTTGATGGAGCTCATGGTGAGAAATTTTTTATCTTTTAATTACATTTTGCACAAACTCTTTGAAATCTGCTTATATACGGCTTCATGGGTAGTGGAGGTTCCTTATTAACAGGATACTAGGGGAGTTCAGAAAGTTCATGGAAAAGTAAAGTTAAAAGATAGTACAAATCTTTTCATGAACTTTTTGAAGTACTCTCCTATTTCCTATTTCTTCCTTCCATCCTTTATAACACTGATGGTATTAATTTTATTTATCCAAAGGCTATTATCACTAAATACGTTATTGCTATTATTGTTTTAATCAAGCTGTTATCTGTTAGATCAATTAAAAATGAGAAAAATAAGATTTTATTTACCTTTACATATTCTCCAACAATATTCTTTCTTTATGTTTATTCAGGTTTCTAACCTATATCATTTCCTTTCTCTCTGAAGGACTTTTAACATTTCTTGCAAGGCAGGTCTTCTGGTAACATATTTCGTCAATTTTTGTTTGAGAAACTATTTCTCCACTTTTGAAGGATAATTTTGTTGTAAACAAAAATCTGGGTTGGTGGGCTTTTTCTTTTAACTCTTCAAGTATTTCACTCCACTGTTTCCTTGCTTGCATGGTTTCCAAAGAGGTGTTCAATGTAATTCTTACCCTTTTTCCTCCATAGGAGAAGAAATTCCTCCAATGGGAATTTTTAGGTTTATTTAAAGGCACACTGAATAAATTCTTAATTTTTTGATCCTATATTTGAGGTTCCTAATGATTATGATCTTTTGCCTATTTTTGAGAAAGACCAAGGAAAGTTGGAGAAGCTTTTTAACTCTTTGAGTAAATACTCTCTGAGTGGTCATAATCTCATAATAAGGGAGCCCAAAATAATGCTCATAGTATGTACCTAATCAGTAAATATTTATTGAATTTAACTGTCAAAAACTCAATATTAGAAAACAGGGAAATCAGGGGATTGGTTTCATGTGCACACCCATGTACAAACTGGAAGACTCATTTTAGTGATACATTTTAAATTGATTTTTTGTAGTGGTATCTCTTTATTCCTTAAGCTCAGACCATCCTGTTCACTTCTAAAAACAAGAATATTTCACAGAGTGCTAGGAGACAGTTTAAAGTAACCCTCCAAAATTGTATAATACACAGTGTGAGACTTTGGAAAAAAGCTCTGATAGCAGTCAAGTGACTTATTTAAAAAATGTTTCTTTCTCATTAAAAATATAGTGCTCATTATTAAAGACTTAGTCCTGGGTTTTCCAGTATGGTACTTGGTAGCCACTAGCCTGGTGTGGCTACTAAAAAATTGACATGTGATTAATCAAAATTGAGATGTTCAGTAAGTGTGAAATACACACTAGATTTCTAAGGCTTAGTACAAAAAAATATAAAATATTTAATATTTTAATATTGATTACATGTTGAAATTATAGTTTTTTAAATATATTGTTTAATAAAATTTGTTAAAGTTAATTGCACTTTTTATTTACGTATTGGCTACTAAAAAATTTGTAGTTGTTTATTTGGTTCACATATTTCTTTTTATTTATTTATTTTTATTTTTATTTGTCAATATACAATGTAGTTGATTTTCATGTCCCTTTATCAATTCCTCCTTTTCCCCCCTCTCTCTCTCTCCCGCCCCTGTCAACATCATATCTGTTTACTTAACAAGTTCAAGGAATTATTGTGGTTCACATTGTATTTCTATTGGATAGTGTAGGCTTAGGCAGTTCACAGAGTAGTAATAGTAAAAGTGAAAATCATGTATAAACACCACCACCCAGAAATAATACTAACGTTTTACTCCCAAATCTCCCAGGTTTTGTTTTGCATGGATTATTGAATGATGACTACACACATATGTATTTATTCTCATCACCAAGCACACCCTACAGGCACAGACATTAATTTTTATGGACATTGTTTCCTGTCAGTAAGTATACCATTATCAATGGACACATTATATGGATTTACCAATATCTGAGGGACAGACAGGTTTTTTGTTTCTCTTTTCTTTCTTTTTCCCCCCTAATGTAGTATTGCAGGGTGTACACACACACTTTTTCTTCACAGACTTGATCGGTTATTTTACAATGAGGATTTCCAGGAAACAGGTTTTCTCGGTTGAAGGGTGAGCAATTTTTAAATTTTATTTTGCCTTGCCAAATTGCACTTTCCAGTAATTTGTACGTTTTATAATGATAATTTAGTGTATTCTTTGTAGTTCTTCAGCATGCCCAATTCCCATGTAACATTAAACAAATATAAATGGCAGTATTTTGTGTATTTGATTCCATAAAAATGTTCTCACTTTTAAAGTATGATTTATCTGAATGGTAGACATGTATTTTTCTAAGTACTCATAGAGGCATCTCAATTTTAAAATGAAAGTGAATAAATGAAAAGATGAACATAACAATGTTTTATGATCAAGCTATGTATCTACCTTCAAAGTGAGGGTTGCATTAATATTTATTGTTAATAAGAATTTTCTCCCTAATTTATCTAGCTGTCTTGAAACAAGATCATATCAAGCATAAGAAGTCATTAGTGTGCTACCACATGTGGCAAAATAATTCTACCTGTGGGCTGGGCCACTGGGTCATGAGTCTGCACTCGCTCACCTCTTTCCCTGTGCTGTGCTGGTGACTCTCCTGTCAGTGCAGTTGAGTGGTTGGCAGGCCACCTGTGTGGTGGCTGGGGCTGCTGCTGTGGCAGTGAGCCGCCCTTGCAGCAGCAGTGGCTGTGGTGGACCACCTGCGCAGAAGCAGAATCTGTAGTAATGGTGGGGACTACCTCCAGCTCCTTCTGATATCCCAGGATTCAGGGATTCACTTCTGCCCTCTGCCGAGGAGGTGCCTCCACAAATACTACATTACAGTCTACATTTTTTTTAAAAAAATTCATTCAGCATATCTAGTAAGAATACATGAAACAATCACAGGGAAGATATCACTTAATTACCTACCCCACCATTTCCCTCACTGCCAAAATACCCACAAAATTAAAATTTTTACTCGTTGAAAAAACAAGTCACTTTTACAACAGTTTTAAATGTAAGCCAAATTTTTAAAAATCGTCTTTCAAAGACTTAAAACTTCCAAGACAGAAACCAGCAGCATTTTTCATATATTCCAGTTTTAGTATTGTAATACCTGATTTTTTATCTGAAAGATAAGCTTACTGATTTTCTTCTGGAGACATAATGTACTAGCACTTGACTAGTTATCGTTTCTGTTTGCTGAAGTCAAAATTCTTCAAAGACACAAAAACTTTCTTCTTGAAGAAGCATAAGGGTCTTGACAACATTATCTTTCCCCTGCTGCTTTCGATGTATATATATGTTGTGTGTTATAATGAGGCCCAGGAAACTTTAAGATGATGCAAACTTCTAATAACCTAAGCTTCCCTTTCTTCAATTGCCAGTTTCTCCTTTAATTCATAAAAGCCATACTGAGAATATATATAAAATTAACAGATGCCCCTTGATCACCTGTTCCCTATGGTCTAGCACTCAGAAAACTTCTTTCATAGTGGACAGATACCCATGGTCAGATGCTCTTCTGGAGACTGGAGTGAAAAGGATTAAGTTCCTTATTTCACCTTATAAGCCTGTGGGGTCAATATTGTGTAATGGTGGATTGCACAGGCTTGGGAATCAAAGCCAGCCACTGAGGTCTTCTTTCTGGCTCTGGGAGTTATTAGCTGTATGACCCAGGGGAGGTCTCTTCATCTAAGGCTTAGTTAATTCATCTGGAAAAAAAATAATTTAAGCAAGTTGTATCTAAAGCACATAATTGAGTGTTGAATAACAAAGGAACCTCTTCTTATTTATGAAGAATCATAAAGAAGTGATTGACAATATCAGCCAGGCTAATTTCCAGTGTTACATGGGGACAGGACCTCTGAAGTTGATTCTCACCATTCAGGGACTAAGGCTTTCTACAGGATACAAAACGTACATCTATTTTTGGCTGTTGTGCTCTTAAAAATATCTGTGTACCATATTACCCTGTTAATGGTTTTCCCCACATTTACAAAATGGCAATAAGCATGGTGTAAATATTAAACCCCAAAGTCTCTTTTACCTCCAATCTTTAATTAAAACCTAGCAAAGAAAAATAAAATCATTTGTAATAGTATTTACCCTAAAAACTACATAATTGTATATTGACCCAAGGTCATCCTATCTTTATATCTGTTATTTAGGATTAGCAAATTGGAGTAGGAGAAGTAATATATTTCAATAAAAATATGTTCTACCTACTGCTTTGAGGTTTGTTACTAAACAGTGTCTGATTACATATGTAACACATCAGTCAAAAAACAAAGACCGCCCCCCAGGGGTGCTTTTTTTTTTTTTATGATCATTGATATATACATCTAATATAGTGTACCAAAGAAAAAAAATAGCACATTGTGCTAGAATTAGGTAATTTGTAGCTTTCAATCAAAAGTTTTATAAACACGTTTTACTTAATATCATTTCTCTCAAAATGAAAATATTAAGCCAATTTTATATGCCAATGTCAGCCTTAAATCATCTAATAGAGGGAAATTTTTGGAAAGTATATAAAGGCTTCACATAAATAAAAAATGCTATTTATTTAGTGCATACAGTTATATGACCTGCACTGTACTAGCTGACTATTATTTAGTCTTCTCAACAATTGACCTCCTACAGTTGAAGAAACAAACTAAGAAAGGGTAAATAACTTGCCCAAAGTTAACAGCTTACCAGTTGCTAAACTGGTATTAGCTTGCTCTTTGCCCTGCATCCTGCTGCCAAGGACTTTTCATAAGGGCTCCTTGTAAAAAACTAAAAGTACATGAAATTTAGAATTTTATTTAAATGATACTTTTTTATGAAAGAGTTGTGCCAAAACTTTGTGAGGTTCTATGAATTTATAAAAGCAATGAGATTCGGTGAAGAGATGAATTTGTAACTCCTTGTGATTCATGTACTTTAAAAATAATTATTATTTTGGTAAAGTGCTACATAAGAAATATACCGGGATAAAAAAATATTCTTTTTAAAGCTGGTCTTTGGTTTTCTGTTTTTATATTATACTCTGTTGGTATCTGAAAAGCCACATCTTGATTTTCAGAAATGGCAACAGTATCCAAAAGTAGAATTTGGATATAAATGAGAAACTAAAAGTTTACTCTTAAAAAAAGAGGAAAAAAAAAAAAAAAAAACCTTGGCAAGAAAAAAGGATACCCTTAACAAACTGAAAAAAATCAACATTACTGTTTAGGAAACAAGTTAAAAATCAGCTCTCTCATTCACTATTAGTGAGATCATAAATTGGAACAAAATTTTGGAAGATAATTTTGCAATATATATCTAAGTTGACATATATATACCCTCACACCTGCAATTCCATTCCATCCTGGCAAAAGTGTGCCAACATACTAATGTGCATGATACTAAGTACAAAATTTTTGATAGAGAAAAAAATACAGAAAAAATGCCAGTCAATAAAACTTCCTAAAAATATTGTTATATAGTTGTACAGTGGAGTATGATGTGGTCACTACAAAGATGTACAGATATGGACAGACACCCAAAATATCTTGTCATGTGGGAAGAGCAAGATACAGAATATTATGGACAGCATAGCCAAATACTGTGTTAAATATATATACACATGCATTTGCTTCCATATTCCCAGGAAATTTACAGAATTATACACAAGGAACTATAACCGGGAGTTATCACTGGTAAAAGAGGAAGGGAAGGGGACTTTCAGTTTTCTGTTTTGTATTATTTTACCATGAGCAGCAACGATGTTATACGAATAAGAAACATTTCAAACTAACATAAAAGACTACACAGTATTTCAATTTTTAAAAAATTATTAGAGCTTAAAAACAAAATAATATAAAGTTTAAACAGAAAGAAATGAGTTTTGTAATGAGTAAAACATTTTCCTTTATCCTCACAGGAAATTTAATGCCTGAAAAGTTGAAGATCTATGTGAACTTTACTATAATCCAAGAGCACATAACAGACTGTGGATTTGGCATATCTCAAACAGTACCACTGCTTTGTGGCTTCATCTTTATTTGTTTCCAAATAGAAGTCTGAGGCAAGGGGAAAGGAAGGAGGTGTCAGTAACATCTGCTGGTTGGACCAGGTGAGGCATTCAAGTACAACCTCTCTGTGGCTTTAACAGGAAGGTGAAAGCCAATTGTGATGGTCCTTTTTTTTTCCTTGTCGATCTAGCTAAAGGTTTGTTAACTTTCTTATCTTTTCAAAGAACCAGCTTTGGTTTCATTGCGTTTCTCTATTGTTTTTTCTATTCTTTATTTTATTAATTTCCACTCTAATCTTTATTATATGTTTCCTTCTGTTTGCTTTAAGTTTAGTTTACTCTTCTTTTTCTATTGTCTTAGGTGAAGGTGAGATTGAGATTTTTAAAAATATAGACATTTATAGTTATACATTTCTTACTCAGCCCTATTTTACCTACATCCCAGAATTTTTGGTGTTGTGTCTTTATTTTCATTCATCACAAAATATCTTCTAATTTCTCCTGTGTTATATCTTTGACCCATTGGTTGTTTAGGAGTTTCCTCATTGATTTTTGCATATTTGTTTGTTTCTTTAATTTATTTCTATTATTTATTTCTAATTTTATTCCATTATTATTGGAGAACATACTTTATATTACTTGTATACTTTTAAATTTATTGAGGTTTGTTTTAAGGCCTAGCATATGATCTGTTCTGGAGAATGATCTATGCACCTTGAGAGGAATGTATATTCTTCTTTATTTAGGTGGAGTGGTCTATAGATGTCTGTTAGATAAACTTGGTTTATAAAGCTGTTCAAGTCTTCTACTTCTTGGTTAATCTTTTGCCTAGTTTATTCATTTTTGATCATGGAGTTTTGAAGTGTCCAACTGTTAGTGTTGAATTGTATATTTTTCTCTTCATTTCTGTCAGATTTTGCTTCATGGATTTTGGTGCTCTGTTTTTAGGCATATACATGCTTATAATTGTTATATCTTTCTGATGAGTTGACCCTTTTGTTAATATAAAATGTTCCTCCTAGTCTTTAGTAATTGTTTTGTTTCTAAGCCTATTTTGTCTGATATTCGTATAGCCATTCCAGCTTTCATGTGGTTGCTGCTTGCATAGTACATGTTTTTCATCCTTTCACTTTCATCCTATTCATAACTTTTAAACTAAAGCATGTCTCTTGAGGACAGTGCAGAGTGGGATCTTGTTCTATTTTTAATCTGTTCTGAAAAGTTCTGCCTTTTGATTGAATTACTTAATTCAATCACACTTAATGTTATCATGGATAAAGTTGGATTTACATCTGCTGTTTTACTTTTTGTTTCTTATGTATCTATGTATCTCATGACTATTTTGTTACTCTATTCTCCTTTCCCCTTCCTTTTACATTAAGTAAATATTTTTATAATCTAGCATTTTAATTTTCTTTATATTTTTATACTATATTTTTTGGAATTTTTTTCCTTGGTGGTGCTATAGGGTTCACCATAATAATTTTAGCTTCAGATTAAGACTAAATTCCAGTGAGATATAGCAACATTACTCTTACATAGATTTATTCTCTTTTTCCCCTTTTTCTGGTATTATTATTATACATTGCATCTATAAATATTACAAACCAAATGATATATTGTTATGCTTATTACTTTATATAATTTCTTTTAAAGAAGCGTATTTAATTATATCCCTTGTATTAATATTTTAATTTCTCATACCAGTTTTCTCATTTGTCCTGTGGATTCAAGTTACTATCTGGTGTCATTTCCTTAGTCCAGGGCAGCTCTGCTTCTGTCCATCTTCCTTGTGCTGTTATTAGCAAACATGTTATGTTTCTATACTCTATAGGTCCAAGAATATAGTACACATATATTATTTTATACAGTGGTTTCTTAAATCAGTTAAGAAGGGAAAAAAGAAAAAAATATGCATTTATACTGTCTTTTATAATTACATAGTGATTTTCTTAGTGTTCTTTGTTGTTTCATGTGGATTCAAATTACTGTGTGGGGTTCACTTGCTTTTAGTCTGAGGAACTTCCTTTAGTACTTTTTGTAAGGCAGGACTGCTGTGAACAAACTCTCAGTTTTTGTTTACCTGGTATTGTCTTTATTTTACTTTCATTTTTTAAATATAGTTTTGTGGGCCCAAGGCATGGATCTGGGGACTGGACTCCCCCTCCCACAACCAGGTATACCACCAGTGCCACAGAGCCCACCCAGGCACCCAAGGTATGGAGCCGGGAACCAGACACCCTGCCTACAACCAGGCACACCGCCAGTGCCATGAAGCATGCCAAAAACATCACCTCCATGTGGGTGGCCCATCACAGCCACCACAGTAACTGCAGCTGCCACAAAAGTGGCTAGATGTCTCAACCACCATGCAGATGGTCCACCAGCCACTGGAGTGCATTGACACAAGGAGAGTCACGAGCAGAGACCAAAGAAAAGAAGAGGATGTCTCTCTCCACAAAGCCCATTCCAGAGTGACAGAAGAAGCATCTGCTCTACGATAATATTGGGGGACCTGAACACACCTCTCAGCATTGGACAGATCATCTAGGCAACAAATCAGCAGATCATCTAGGCAACAAATCAGTAGAGTAACCATTACTCTTTCAGAGGGAGAGAAGAAATCTAGGGTTATCAGTGGTGGGAGGGGGGACGGAGGAAGAGGATGGGGAGAGATTGGACAAGGGGCATAAAGAATAAGTGCAATTTATAACAATATATATACTAGTGATATTGATTTGATCCACATATGTCAACATTAGACCCCCAAAATATGTATAATCAATTATGATTCAATAAAAGTTTTTCTAAATAAATAAATAAAATATAGCTTTGCTGAATATGGGATTTCTTGTTGACAATTTTTTTCTTTGTGAACTTTATATATGTTATCTCTCTGTCTACTAGACTCCATTGTATCTTTTTTTTTTCCTTTTTTTTTTCCTTTTTTTTTTTTGTCTTTTTTTTTTCGTGACCGGCAACGGGATCGCAACCCTCGGCGTTGCGCCCACACCTCGCTCAGCCAGTGAGCGGCTGGTCTGTATGTGGGATCTTTTTTCCTTTTTTTTTTTTGTCTTTTTTTTTTCGTGACCGGCAACGGGATCGCAACCCTCGGCGTTGCGCCCACACCTCGCTCAGCCAGTGAGCGGCTGGTCTGTATGTGGGATCCGAACCCTCGGCAGGAGCGCCACCGCGCTCCCACGCGGCGCACTGTAGCAGTGCACCACCGGGCCGGCCCAAGACTCCATTGTTTCTTATGAAAAGTCAGCTCTTAATCTTATTGAGATTCCTTTGTTAGTGACAAGTCACTTTTCTCTTGTTGATTTTAAGATTTTCTTTTGTCTTCATCTTTCAGCATTACACTACAATGTGTGTCTTTTTTAGATATCTTTGCATTCATCCAACTTGGAGTTTGTAGAACTTTCTTGGAGTGTAGATCAGAGTTTGTTTTGTTTTGTTTTGTTTTAATTTTGGTGTTTTCAGCCATTATTTATTTGAATATATTTTCTGGCCCTTCTTTTTCTCTATTCTCCTGCTGGTAATCCCGTTGCATATATTTTGGCTTATTTAATAGTCAAACATTTCTCTGAAGGTCTCTTCCTTTTTCATTCTTTTTTTTCCCTCTGATCTTCAAATTGCTTAAACTCTGTTGTGAAATTTTCTAATTCTCCTGCTAGTTTTCATCTACTATTGGGCCTTTCTAGAGAATTTTTCACTTCAGTTATTGCATTTTCAACTCTATAATTTCCAATTAGTTCTTTTTTATAATTTCTATGTCTTTATTAATATTCTCTATTTTTTTAGATGTTACCACAATGTCTTCCTTTATTTCTTTAATCATGGTTGACTTCAGTTTTTAAAATATATTTATAATGACTACTTTGAAGTCTGTCATCTGGTTGTTCTCACAGGACTAGATGTCACAAGTATCTTTTATTGCTTCCTTTTTTTCTTCTTCACTGTATGGGCAGTTGTTCCTATTTCTTGCATGTCATGAAAGTTTTCTTGGGAACTGAACACTTTAGATAATACTTTGCAGTAACTCTAGGTACTTGTTCCCTACCCACCCCAGGGCTTCTCATTGTTACTTATTTGTTTATTTGTTTTGTGACTGCCTGGATGTTTTAGTAGTGATGTGTATTTCTCTCAGTAATTTAAGGCCTCTGATGTTTCTCCTCAGGAATCACAGCCTATAGTATGCTATAATCAATCCAAGTTTACCATGATTTTCTCAGGTCTCAATTTACCTCTTTCTCTGACCACGCCCAGCTATTGAGCTCCACTAATTCATGACTAATTGCTCTTTTGTTTTCAACAATGCCCTGAAAAATAAATTGCTTTATAGCGTAATACAATCAAATTCAGTCTTTTTTGAAGGAATAGTTCCGAAGACCAGTGTTCAAAATTTGTCCTGACTCCTCCAAGCTGTGCCTTTTTCAGATTTTCTCCGGGAAACTAGCCAGCCAATAATTTAGTCTCTATGTCCAATGAATCTACTAATCTTCTCTCACGTGCCTTTTATCACAATCTCCACTGTTTTGTTTTTTGTTTGTTTGCACTTTCTTTTGGTTTTGATGAGTGCCCAGGACAAGGATTGAACCCTGGACCTTAGTGTTATGAGCACCATGCTCTTATCAACTGGGCTAACCATCCAATTAATTTATTAGAAGTAATAAAGGTCAGAAGAGAAATGAGAGACTAGGAAAAAATACAAAATATTAACAAAACTAAGGGTTTTTTTGAAAAAATAAAATCAACAAACCTTTAGCAAGACTAATTTTAAAGAAAGAGAAATTTCTGATACCACAGAAATACAAAGGATCCTAATAGATTATTATGAACAATTATACACCAACAAATTGGGTATCCTACAAATAACAAGTAAGGACTTTGAATTGGAAATTTAAAAAATCTTTCATCAATGAAAAGTCCAGGATCTGACAGCTTCACTGATGAATTGTACAAAACATTTAAAGAACTAATATCAATTCTTCACATTCTCTTCCAAAAAGTCAAAGAGGAGAAAATACTTCCAAACTCTTTATAAGGTAATCATTAATCTGATACCAAAGCCAGATAAGAAAACTATAGGCCAATATCTCTTATGAACTAGATGCAAAAATCCTCAATAAAATACTACTAAAGTGAATTCAAGAACACATTAAAAGCATCATACACTATGACCCAGTGGGATTTATCCCTGGGATGCAAGGATGATTTAATATGAACTGCTCAATAAATGTGATATGTCATATCAACAGAATGAAAGACAAAAACCATATGATTGTCTCAGATGCAGAAAAAGCATTTGACAAAATGGAACATGCTTTCATGATAACTCTCACCAAATTAGATATAGAAGGAATGTACCTCAAAACAATAAAGTCTATATATGATTAGCCCACAGCTAACATTATATTCAGTGGTGAAAAGTTGAAAGCCTTTCCTCTAAGATCTGGAACAAGGCAAGGATGCCTACTATGACTATTTGCTGTAGATTGGATGCCCCCGTTCCCCAACCTCAATGAGGTTTAATCCCCTCTGTAAATGTTGAGTGTGGAAAATCCTATTATGGTAATTGAAAGGTGGGGCCTTGAACAGATGATTAGATTCTATGACCATGCTGTAGTGAATGACTTAATAATGGTGGTCAGGGGCATGGTTCTGAGGACTTTGAAAGAAGAGCACATGAGAGTTTAGTCTCTCTCTGCTCTGCCATTCTCACCATGTGACACCCTTGGGTCACTGTCACCACCACCAAGACCCTCACTAGATCTGTTCCCTGTACTTTGGACTTCCCAGTCTCCAAAACACTAAGCAATAAATTTTATTTTCTTTATAAATTACCCAGTTCCAAGTATTTTGTTATAAGCAACAGAAACAGACTAATACACTATCCAACATATATTAGAAGTCATTGCCAGAGCAATTAGACAAGAGAAATAAATAAAAGTCATACAAATAGAAAAGGAAATAGAATCACCACTGTTTGCTGGCTACATGATCATATATAGTTTAAAGACTGCACCAAACAACTGTTAGAACTGATAAATGAATACAGTAAAGTTGCAGAATACAAAATTACCACACAAAAATCAGTAAGGTTTCTATACATTAACAACAAACTGTGTTTTGTCAATTATAGAACTCCATTTACAATAGATAAAAAATAAAATACTTAGGAATAAATTTAACCAAAGACTTAAAAAACCTTTACACCAAAAACTACAAAAGATTGGTGAATGAAATGGAAGATACAAATAAGTGAACAGATATCTTGTGTTTATGAATTGGAAGCATTAATATTGTTAAAACATCTATACTATCCAAAGTGATCTGCAGATTCAATGCAATCCCTATCAAAATTCCAATTTCATTTTTTATAGAAATAAAAAAATATATTAATAATTATATGGAACCACAAAACAAACAAACAAAATCCAAACATCCAAAATAATCACGAGCAAAAGAGGTACTAGCATAACAATAGACATATTCACCAATAAAACAGAATAGAGGGTCCAGAAATGAACCCAAACATGCACAGTCAATTGATTTATGACAGATGTGCCAAGAATACACAATGGCAAAAGGAGTGTCTCTTCAATAAATGGTGGTCAAAAAACTGGATCTCCACATGCAGAAGAAAGAAATTGGCCCCTTATCTCAAACTATAAGCAAAAATAGACAAATGGAATTCCATCAAACTAAAAAGCTTCTGCACAGCAAAAGAAACAACAGTGTGAAGAGACAATGTACGAATTGGAAGAAAATATTTCCAAGTTATGTCCATTAAGGGTTTAATATTCAAAATGTATAGGGAACTCAAACAACACAATAGCAAGAAAACAAATAACACAATTTTAAAATGGTCAAGAGACCTCAATAGACTTTTCTCAAAAGAAGATATACAAAGGTCCAATAGATATATATTTTTAAATGCTCAATATTGCTAATCATTAGGAAAATGTAAATTAAAACCACAGTGACCTATCACCTCAAACCTCTCAGAAAGAGTATTACAAAAAAAAAGAAAGGTAACAAGTGTTGGCAAGGATATTGAGAAAAGGGAATAATTGTACACTATGTGTTGGAATGTAAATTAGTACAATTATTATGAAAAACTGCAAAACTGCATAGAGATTCCTGAAAACTAAAAATG